GACAGATTTGTAGCGGGACATGCGCATGGCGGTTAGACGCAATGGGTAAAGCTCCACAGTCGCCTCCCCGACCTCTCCGCGCTCAATGACCTCTCGTTGAAGTGGATGTTTCGGCTCGCCGTACCTAGCCGGAGTGAGTGGCACAACAATAGAGGTCGCGTATAACAATTACCAGGACACCAAGTCGGACCACACATCTTGCGGCACGAGCTCAAAGTCGACCCCGTCAGAGAGCGGGCTCCTGAGGGCGCCACTCGCGTCAACCAGGGCGGAATTGTCGACGCCTCTGAGTTCGTCCTCGGAGACCGGGCCCTCCTTGTCCACGACGCCAGTGCATGCTTTTTTCCAGCGCTTCCACCAGGTTCTGTCGACGAGGTACCACTTCTCTCCGGTCTGCATCTTGCGGGCCTTTGCGGTCTCGACGCGCGAGAGTTTCTCCACGGGCGGCACGGACTGATACATCGCGGTGTAAGTCGGCGCCAGACGGAAAGTGTCCTCTCCCAGTTCAGCCATGTAGGTGTCGCTAGGGTCGGAGATAGAAAGGGTCGAGAGTGGCTCCCCGTCCTGCGATGGCCCATCGGAAGTGAACGCTTCACTGAAGAAGCTTGTGAAGTATCGGAAATCATGGAGCTGCTGCGCTGTCTTTTTCTAGTCGGCTGAGAAGAGACTGGTGAGGGAGGTGAGGAGGGCGTAGAGTTCATCGTAATCTTTTCCAAAACAAAAAGAAAGGCGAAGAAAGAAAAGGTAAGAGGAAACGCGTAGGGTACGTGACAATCACGGCGTCACGCATAGCCAATATCCAGTGTAAACCTTTCCTGCTCTTTCCAGGGCCTTCAAAGGCCCGTTGAACATTTCACCGGAAGGATATCCTTGTCTTTGGAGATATCACAATTTACGAACCGATTTGAAGCAGATTCGACCTCTCACTTTGCATTAAATTCTCACCAGCTCACACGACGCTGTGCCACAGCCTAGTAAGATCCTAAAATGTTATTGCAAGTGGTGATTATCCTACGGTCAACGCCGCCCATTATTTTGCTACAAGAAGATACAATATTCTAAAATCCTCCTCGCACCACATCAATGGCCTGAACGTCTAGGGTCTTCCACTGGCTTCCTGTTTTCTCGCAGCCCCGCCCACACATCCTCTGTAGCAGCCGCGATGCGCTCCTTAATACTGCTAAAGCTGTCCAGTGCCGGCCGGACATCGAGTGAAAAAACCGGTGAGCCGTCAGGCTCGGGGGGAGCAGAGTAATAATCTATCACATAGCGGACCTCCTCCCCCGTTTTCGGACGTCGCACCACCCAGTCGTGGCGATCGAACGGCGGTTCGGTACTACGCTGAATCAGTACCCTTTTATTTTATTTTATTTTCTGTCACGACGTACTTGAATTTCGACGGCATGAGCCACCCAGCAAACATCCAGAACCGCGCCTTGGGCGACATCTCGCCCGGCCGTCCTTTGAATCGCGCGAGTTGGATGTCGTCCGCACTGTGTTCCCGATTAAATTAATGACAAGCGGTCGCGGATGATGGGCCACACGCACGCATATGCTCTCTTCTCCCATTTCAAGACCTCCTGCCACGCCTGCTCGTTCAAGAAGTTGTGGATCGCAACCATGGTCTCCACATGTTCGAGCTCCTCTGGCGTTTCGTGCCCTTTTCGCGCCAACGCATTGTAAAACTGCTGAGGTGACGGATACTCCCACTTGGTCGCCGGATCGCGGGGAATAGACGACTCAGTGCGGGAAGTGGGCAGAAGGAGAGCTTGGCTGGGTGCCGGCGCCTGAGAGAGGTTCGTTGGCATCTGGTTCAGCGAGTTTATGGATTCATGGTCGATTGGACATTCCGCCAGCTTCGTCGACGCAGCATGGGGAACAGGACAAGATGAAGCAGCTGCAGAAGAGTTGTGGTCAATAGGACATGACTGGGATGCACGAGGAGGCACGGCGCTCTGAGAACTTGTCTGTCCCATGCCGGAGGACTCCGGAAGAAGGAAATATCGCGATCACGTTGCCTGCGAGGCTGCAGCCAAACAAATCCAATTTTGGGCGTCCCGGGCCGATGTGGCACTAATGTGGCACATCAGAAAGATTTTCGTCAATATTCTGCTTCCTTCTCCATATCGCGCACGCGCGCCGATTGATCGTTGTCTATCGTTGTCCTAGGGTCATTGCTCATCCACACTCATCAGGAAAACCATACAGTGCTCTGCAGCGCTAGAGAGCGCTGCTAGCCTAGAAGGCGGCTGCATAGAGGGTATGTAGGTATGAGCACTATGACTCGCTTGACAGCGCTGCATATGGCTTCATAGAGCTTCATAGCGTCTCATAGCGGGCTCGGCTACGGTTTTCCTGATGCTGCATTTCAAGACTTGAAAGAAGTTCCTGAGGAGAACGAGCAAAGAACGAGACGCTCTCTTTCGCCGAGCCTTTATTTGTTCTTCAATCCAATCTACCTATTTATGACCTCAGGCACCAGGCGTGTAACCCGCGCCCGTCATAATCAGCGCGCGAATATCCTACCTTGGCGAATCGCATGCTTCTAATTCTTACCATCGCACCCTGATCGCACCCGATCCACCGCTGTGTGCCGTAAGTAACCCCTTCCAATGTTTAATTAGTTCTACAGTCAGCGTCTTTTTCTTGTTTCCATCCCCCACGTCGCCTCGGAATATTAATGGCCTTCGGCGACCCGACGCTGGACAACACTCTCGGTGCATTATTGGTCGGATGTATAATATCCTCCATGTGCGTCCACTAAACAAAAATATATTCCTATCGTGTGACGACCTGCGGCATACAGCACATACGGCATTAGCAGTCTCTACGTCTACATCTACTACCACACCTATGTGAACGATAGGAACCTACTCAAATTCTCCGTACGTGCCCGTACACTATTTATGCATACACCACTGAGCAACGAGCAGGTCGGCGTTATCTGGTACGGAGCATTTTTCTTGACGCAAGTTAATCCAATGAATAACGCGGTTTCTCAGGCTGCTGGACACCTCCCATACCGTACTGCTCGCCATAACGGTGTATCGCTATACGATTCGTTGTCTCGGACTTCAGGAATGTTTATTCGAAGTACACTGGTGCGCGCGGAGTAATTCTACACCGTGAAGCAGAAGCTGACAGCATTGTGCTAGGACCATAAAGGTAATACCCAAATTTAGTTCACCGCATACCATTTCTGACGCGCAGTACAGGCCATTACAATGGTCAATGTAAGCACCAGTCTTGGCTTCTTCGATTCTTGTTGAGCGTGAATGCTACTTAGATATTTCTCGTCCTCTTGGTTCAAAGGTAACTTGTGCGATCTGGGCTTTGAAATATTCTGACAAAACCTTAGCATCTATGTGCAACGAGTGTGGCGTAGTGAGTCTTCCTCCTATTCGATGTTTCCCTTGCAGTACTCTTATCATGATTTTTAGTCTCCGGGCATTATCACAGTTCCTTCGGCTACATCCCTGTTCGTTGCACTTTGCTTTGTTCAACCCATACTAATTCGCTCTCCCCCCAACAGTTTTTGATACTTCTGGGCGGATTTGGTACGAAAACCGCTTTCTTGCCTCCTTCCACCACTCACTTCTTTTCTGCTTGAAGCTGTTGGCATAGGTGCGTTTTATATTGCCTTCCCTCAGACCGGACACCGTATTTAATTTTTCTTCCACTAAAGTCCTAGTGCAAAGGATGTGAGTAATCCGCGCCTCTATTTTCATCGCAGTTGATCTCGCTATGACAGCCTATTCGCCAAATCTTTCTTAGAATTGAATAACCCAACAATTCGTGTCGGTACATTCCACAAATGGGCATGCCCGCTAGCTCAACCACCCCTAGAACACGAGCAAAGCATCCTTCGCCATCGCCACGGCAATCGACTTCGCAATCGCATTTTCTATGTGCTATTATCTCAACATGAGCAAGATCAGGGGGATATCTGGCTCTCAGTTGAACTCTAGAATATCACTGATTATGGTGCGTCTGCTCATTCTGAACGGTTTTCGTGACTGATATGTCCTTGTCAGCAATATACCATCTGGTGCGTATTTTCATTCCCGCTTCGATGGCACTAACGTAGCATTTCGCGCAGTTCTGGATTGCTTATTAGGTTTCTCATAAGTTTTTTTCTCTCAAAACTTTTAAACATTAAACTATTATGCCTATAGTGTCGTATCCATGGCCGCGTTGATGTCGGTTAGTGAATCTCTTCTATAATGCGGGCACCGACTTATTTTCCACCAGACTATTTTTATGCCTCGCAACTTCATATTCCTCTCACTAACCTTCTTCCTGAACAAAGGTGATCAATTCCCTGTGCAGCTTTCTCAGCCAATTGATCCATCCGCCCCATAGTATACGTGGTCTCTTACCTCGCCATGCTTAATTCCCGACGAACAAACAACGAGTCCACGGCGGCAGCGTCGTCCATCGCCATCTCCACGTCGTCGCGCGTCTACCGAGATAGAGATCTGACAGCGGTCAGTCTAGACCCATAGGACCCGCGCGCCCAGTCACTGATCCCGCTCTCCAGATCCAACCGCTACCCCACTCCTTCCTCGAAATGCGGAAACAGAACCAATCATATCCCGGCGAGGTACGCCTATTCTTTTCTCGGAGAATTTCCCCCCTAACGGTGGATGCGTTGAAGCGAGGCAGCGGCGGCCTTGACGATCCCCAAAAGCCCGCCTACGCTACTGCGTGGTGAACTCAACTTGTATATATATGGAAAGACGCTGGCAGGTCACCGAGCGGTCGCTGGCTGGGTAACTAGCACTCTATGTACTAATAAAATAACAGAACTTGAACTTGTTGATTTGACACCAGTGTACTTACTGTAAGTAGCGCCGAATGAATTCCAATTGAAACGTTTCCGGCTGCGCCGGGATAAATACATGAGCTTATCTATTTCCACAAAACAGACTGACATTGCCGATTTATTGTTAAACAATAAATCGGTCGATGATATAAACGCCGCACCACTGCAGAAGCACGGGGGCTTGGTGTAGCGGTAACATGCGTCGACGATGGAGGCGACCTGCTGAACCCGTGTGCAATCAGGTCCTCAATGAAGAGAATTAGCGCATGCGACGAGCCGGGAGTTCGATTCTCTCAGTTCCCATTTTTAAAAATATTTTCTTTTTGACCCGGGCACATTCCTAAGCATCAAGAAGAAAGAGTCTAATGAACGAACCAGCATATGAATTTCTCGTTTTCAATATGATGATCAACGTCCGTTGAAACTCGTTTATTGAAAGACTTCTCCATATTGCCTTTTCGGGTTGTTGGATGAGTACTGTCGTTTTGGGAATCGCCTACTATTGACGCCACCTCGCTCAACTGTGAGAGTGGTGGTCAAGAAAAGCTGGCATGGATCCATTTGAAGCCGTTGGAAATATTTCGGCGGCACTTAGGGCTCGGGTAAGACTGTCGGAGTTCGAAACCAAGTTCGCATCCTGAATCGGGCCAAGTGGGCTTGTACAAAAATATAGGGAGAGACGTTTCTTCAATTAATGGCGAGTGCCAAGTTCCCCACTCGACATCACTGAAATATGAATTACATACTCGACGCGTTTTAAATTCGTACTCCGAGTCCTTCAGTTACGGCCTCCCGGTCTATGTACCCCCTCGGGATGAGATAGAACGTCTTGCGGTCATATGGAATCAACGGTAAGCCTAGCTCCAAGCGCGTTGGCAGGTCCGGCTGCGACAGAGTCAAAACCAATAAACGACCCTCTCAACGCAGATGCTAAATGGAGAAACATTTGAGATAAAGAGCCGGCCAAATGCCCCTCTTCCGCCGCCTCAAGCGCCCCCACCCGCGAAAGCCGCCGGCGCGGATCAGCGGGCGTGGGAGGTCCTCTTGCATGGTGGGCGGGGAAGGTCGCTAATACATAAATAAAGAGCTTTTGAACATCGTAGGTGTGATATTCTGATCCTCCTGATAATCCATGCGCATACTTTTGGAGGTCAAATGGATGAAAATCAATTTAAATGGTCAACTGCGATTTATTACTTGTCACGGTCCGGGTGCGGGTTCAACTCCTGGATCTTGATCAAGAACGAGAAAACAAGGAGGAGCGGGCAAGGTAACTGGTGTTGAGAAGACAAGAACTTGAAGAACTAAACTACATGGCACTACCTAATATATGTAGCTAGCCGAAAATCCTTAAAAAGTAAAATGTCCGTGATGTGTCTAGAATACTCCGAGTCTACATAGGTACGTAACCAGCGCCGCTACATTACTGGTTGAGTATCTGCGCCACACGTTCATCTCTGAAAAGTCCGAAATGCCCAACCCCACTGATGTGATGGACCTGCACTGGTTTAGCGAAGCGGCTCGCTCCGAGATCGGATGTTCCGTCCAGCATAGAGCGTACGATGCCGTGCTCCGCGACGATGATCCCCATTGGAGCCTTGGCGGAGAAGAGCCAAATTTCGAAAGGCCCAATAAAGGTATCGTAAGATTTCTCGCTTTGTTTAGGATAGAACTGTAGAAGGAAGTTGAAGAGAAGGGTTTGCATCGCCACCGTGATTTCGGCCTGAAAGCGACGAGTGGGTGGTGCATCGGCCGAGCCATCAAGAACGGCCTGATAGGTCGCGGCCGCCTCTGCCCCGGTGGTGGGATCGTTATGAAGCATGCGCAAGACAGACTTATGGCCCATGTCCAGGAACTCCGCCACTGTCAGTTCCCGCAACAGCGCCTCCCAGTCCTCTCGAATCCAAAGAGTTGGAGAATGGTCGATGAAGGTCAGCTGAACAACCTGCTCACCCGCGTCTTCCATACTTTTGGTCAAGGCGACACCAAGAAGACTCGAGGAAGAGTAAACGGCAAATCTGTACGGGCCATGCGGTCTCTTAGCGCATATCTGTCGCTTCCAAAATCCAACCAAAGCTTCCAATGAATCAAGAGGTGTCGATTCGGTAGCTTGCACCGCCCATAAAGCACCCTGGAAGTGCCTTCGGAAACCCAAAAACAGTCCCACAGAACCATTGCCACCAGGCAGAATAATTAAAGGTATTCCTGACCCGCTACATATTTCCACGATGGGCTGCTCAGTCGGAGCAGGTGGCGAATCTAGAAGAGGCTGAACGTCGAGTGGGATCTCTTCACCTCCGACCTCGGGCTGAGCGGGGTGTAGCTGGCTCTCAATGTCAGACCAAGTGGCGCCTCCGAGAAGTCGCATCTGAGAGAAGGCGGTGGTGTATGGACGGAGGATAGCTGACAACTTCGCCGCACTGATGGAATCAAGGCCAAATACAGTCAAGGGTTGCTCGACATTGAAGTCAGCCAACGTGATCTCGAGAAGCTCCAGCAGTTGAATGAGGATATTCTCCCCATTCTGCTGGCAAGATCGAGATGCATTCTCCGTGGGACCTTTGGAAGCTGGTACGATTAGATGGCGACACGACATAGGGAGGGTGATATCAAGTTCGACGGAGCGCCAATTGAGGTCGGGAATGTATTGGTTGAACGGAGCATCGTCCAATTTGCGAAGAGCGTCTTCCAAAAAGCCCCAGAGCTCTAAAACGCCTTTAGCAAATGTTAGGCAACCATACATTAGAAGTACCTTCCGCTGAGATGTTTGAATGATGTCGGAAAAATCCTGATCAGCTTCAAACGTCCTGGGAAGCCTTCCAGGACGTCGCAAGGTCATATGGTTTTAAATGGCTTGCAGCACAGAGGTAAGAAATCCGTAACATCTCCCGAGACACGCCGTGACTCCCAGGCTGTCTCAAGGCGCCCGGGTGACAGCCGACGTACTCAAGGTTTCACAAACCCTGTGCACCTCTCTCAACAGCCTATACATGCAGCTTTTCTCGGCTCAGAATATTCGCATCGGGGCACCAAAAAAATCGTTAAAATCAATGTATTAATCAATACTTCTACCACAGCTATGAACTACGACGTAGTTGTAGAGGGGCGGCGGCCTCCAGCGATGTGTAAGGAAGGAATTCTAGAATTCTACATTGAGTTAGCAGCAGTATGCGAGGCGGGAACACTTTATACACACATTGTAAGAGTGAACATCATAACATAAAATGGAATTAAAGTCCTGAGCACGGTAGCGTTAGATAATGGCGAAAAGAGAGGAGGCACGCATACCTGTCTAAAGTGCCAGAATCAACCCTAGAAGCAGGCGAGCGTGCGAATTGGTGCAAGTAGACGACCTACCCGCGTTGGCGTGGGTGGTGAGAATCAACCCTGAATGAGATCAGCAGTTGGCGGCTGCAACCGAAAGATCACATATACCTGTGTCGACTGAGGACGGTGGGGACAAGGGGATGGTGGTGGTACGAAGGCAGGAGGGGTGGAGTCACGGCGTCACCAGCTGTTGGTTGATATAGTGGGTGACATCATTCGCTCCACCTCGTTGATCGCATTGGAGCAGGCGCTTTACTCTGCCTAATTTTGGGTGGGAAAGCAGGAATGCATTATATTATTGATTGCATCGACAAGGACATGTATCTACGTGTTAATAATATCAATTAATTTTTTCTGCCCCACTGCTTGGAGTGAGTCCCTCCAAACTGGTTTAAAGGGCCCTCAAGGTTGGCGGGATTTGCGTGCACCTTGCCACGGTCTGGGACGCCTTGTGAGTCACTCTATCACGCCTCGAAACGGTCTGAGACTACTTCCAAGTCGCTCCGCTACGTCTTTGAAGCCCTCTGAAGCCGTCTCAAGGTCCCAAGTAGACTCAGGCCGTTGCAAGCGATTTACCATTTTTCCGACAGAACTTCCTTTAAATATTTCACAGTCGTGCGATCCTGGGAATGAGAGATTAGAGGGATTACTAGCAGAATGCTCCTTGAACATACTGACCAGATGTCCTGCGTCCACGATTCCAGGGGCGATCAACGAAAACGCATTAGTATAACGAGCAAGAAGTCCGTCGAGAGCCGTGCAAGCGCTGGAAACATGTACAGCTTAATGCATTGTTATAAACTGAAAGAAAGAAAAATACCTGGCGTAGTTGGACAACCCATATAATCCCAAAAGCCCACTGACGGATGAAAGTGCGACGAAAAAATCAAGAGATTCAATTTCAACCTCCGCAGAAAAAATCTCGAAAACCCGGAGCTTGGAACGCCATACGTCACGGAATGTGTTGTGAGTTTGTTGGAAAAACGCGGCATCGGAGAGAACCAGAGTCATGTGGAAACAGCCGGCGATAGGAATTGACAAGCTGCGAAGGAGTGCGCGCATCTGGTTCGTGTCTGTGGCATCACACCTTTCGAGTCGAAGATTGAGATCATTCTGTCTTCTCAAGTACTCAACCTTGGCCAACGTCATGGCATCTCGGAGTGGGTCTAGGGATTCCATGCCCCTTCGCGAGGTGAGAACGACATGCCGCGCCCCACGCTAGAGTATTCATCAGAATGTACATTAATAAACCAAGGTATAATTTACCTGATACATCCACACCGCAAGGTCAATTCCGAGCCCGCCAATTCCACCCAGAAGGACATAGGCGCGATCATTGCGAAACGGAGGAGCAGCAGAAGCTCTCGCAGGCTGGCCGACGGCATTTCGGAGAACAGAAGTCGCTGCTAGCGGAGTGATCTCAGAGGCTGTGTGGAAATCATTCGCCAAGGTGCGCCGGATGTATGAAGGATCAGTACTGATGGCGGCTTTCAGAAGTTGGTCCCAAAGGAAAACCTTTCCAGAGCGCGGAATCCATCGAGGCAGGTGGGGATATTGTGCGTATGTGGTGGAGTCACTGATTAAGATGTCGAGCCGCTCCGAAACACGAGGATCTCTGAAATCGGCCAAGATCAAATGGATTCCAGATATATTCAGAGTGTGCTGTGCGATGAGTTGCGCCAAATTCTCGTCCTCGATAGCAATCGCCAAACGAGTGTCGGTGCCCGATCCAGGCCAGGTGATGAGAGATGTTAGGACGGTGCCTAGGAGTTTGGGGGCGAGGTCGGCATCAGGGTATTTCGTCGTTGAAATGATGCTGTTGACATGAACATGAAGTAGCTCGGTCGACGATGCCTCCACTACACCGCCGAAAAAATCCCCTGGAGACACATCAGGATGGTTACTGGAAGCGACGTGGCCTACAAATCCGTCGTATAAACCTGACATTCCAGCCCAGTGAGTAACTCGAAGGCTGA